TGACTTCTTACACCAAGTAGACCTTTATAGGGCAAAAGTAGCCTCTTGAACTGCACTACAGTTAAACTGATAATCGATTAAGGCAAAATATCACTGGTATATTTACAAAGTCTAGTTTCAATTAAAACCTTTTTCAGGTCCACCAAACATCATTAGTTCTTGATCAGGCATCAAGAACTTACATTTGTTCATCCCTAGTTTTGAGCTGGAGCTAACACAGACACAACTCATTACACTCTGTTCTCACTCAAATTTCATTACATCCAAGATGTCATATTTAACTAAGTGGATATATTGTATAGATCAACAGGTCTTATTATCTAGCAAATCAGATTGTATCCCAGTATTTTCCCTTCCAACATTTATTTTAACTTTTTGGCCTTTTTAAAAGAAAATGTTCTTCCCCTTCTAACAGGTCATAAATTGTGTTTTTCTATCACATTTTGTAGGCCTTTACCCAGGCTTTGAGTTAGGGTGGGTGACGGGCCCAGGATGTTTGATTGATTGTTTTCTCATGGTAATCTTTCTCTTGGGATTTGGGTTTTTTAAATTGTATCTTATGACTGTTTTTACTGTATGCCAGAAAATTGTTGTAGACAATTGGGCAGCTTTATTTCTAAATACATACATACCTGCATTTTGTGAACTGGCCATTCAGCCTTAAAGGGCCTAAGAGTGTCAGTGGTTTGGTTATGGCACTGGGTAAATTAAGAACAGTCTGCCAAAATTGTATTAGTTCTTGATACAATGCATTTTTGCTAGTCTTTGGCATGCAGAAATTGTAAATTGTAAAAATGAAATTAGCCATGGATTTATAGCAAGTAGATATTTTGGTAGGAAACAGAATTTAAAGCAGAGCTCCTTTATTTTTCACAGTTCTGTCAAGGACAGAATTTTAGGTGTCCATAGTTCTTGAGAAGAGAAAAAAGCTGCCCTATTCAGTATGGCCTGGTAGACAAGGTGTTGGATTAGGAGGAGGGAGGCCCAGATCCTAATCGAACCATGGAAGTTCTCTGGGTGACTTTGGGCCAGTCACTTTCTCTCAGCCCAACCTATTTCACAGGGTTTTTGTTGTAGGGAAAAAATAGGAAGGTGTGCTGTGTATACAAGCCTGAATGAAGAGTGAAACATAAATAACAAAACAAAAGGGTGGAACATAAATTTTAAAAAATTACTTCAGATTCTTCAGCTTTATAAGGTTGACAAGACTACAAAGAAGGAATAGAACAGTATTGCAAAGCAGGAATGGATGTCAATGTAAATACTTGCTTGAATTTTTATGACAAATATCCATCTTGACCAAGTTTGTCATTCTACAGGTAGTCCTCATTTAGTGACCACAATTTGGACCAGCACCTTGGTTGTTAAGTGAAGCAGTCACTAAGTGAAACCATGACTGTGCTTATGATAGCTTTCCTTTGCTTTACAGACCTGCAAATGTTGTAAAGGGAAGGATTGGTCACAAAGTTCCTTTTTCATCACTGTCGTAACTGTGAATGGTTGCTGTACGAGGCAGTCACTAAGCAAAGAATATCCGTAATTCAGTTTGTATCCCCATACAAATTGTTTGTTGTCCCATATTACTGTCCCTGAGGGAAAAATTACTGTCAGGACAGGAAAGGATAGCAAAATGAAGCAAGTGATAATTATATCATCTTCAGCTTCTTGGAATCACAGAGTTGAACACATTCTAACATGATAATTAAAAAATGGCAGTTGTTGACCGGCTGAAAATATAGCTGCTTGGGAGGCCAGGATAAAATAATTCCATAGGTCAGTGACCGGATGCTGGAGGGATGGGTGCTATGGCTAATTGGAGCTGAGGTTGTCACTAAATCAGAATGAAGCATTTCAGACCACTCTCCTGAAGGGCTTAAGAAGGTTCAGGTAAAAAAAATAATAATAATGCCATTTTTGAATAACAGCTGGAAAAAATGAGTATGGAATGCATTTGCAGTGTACTGGGCATGGGTAGAAGATGACATTATTAGTTCCTGCACACAAGAAGCAGTGGGTGGCCTGTACTGCTGATGGGACAAACAGAGAGTGCAGATCTGCCCTAAGTGTTCATGTTCTCAGTATTTAATACCTTCCTCAAGGCTAAAAAAGCCTTGGATCAATTTTCTACTTGATCGCTTTTGGAGGCATCCCTGCTACCATCATTTTTTCTGAGTTGTATTCAGACATTATGTTCGGTTATGGTTGCTGACCAAGCCATCATAGCCTGATTCATATATCATGCCAAACCAAACCAAACAGATTACACTACAGTTTAGCACAGTCTCCCTCTTGGTGCCCTTTACATTATGATAGAAATTTCTAGAATTTCTAGTAATAACCATGCTGTCTGGGAGATGTTGGGAAGGTCTAGTTTAGCTTGATGTGGGAACTTACTTTACTACTTGTAGTAGCAGATGATAGCAGGTAACTTCTCTCCCCAAATGAATCTGTGAAAAGCCAGAGAATTAGGTCTCTAACATACATTTTGCTGAGCTGGCAGAAATGCTAATCTGATAACAAGTATCAAGTTCAGAATAACTATCTTTATTTAACTTGGGTGATTTGAACATTAGAAGCACAGATGGGTTTATCAGGTTTTGTAGACCATATGAATAGGTGTCCATTTCTAAACACAATGATGAGAAAATGGCTGTTATGTTATGACACAAGCTCTACCCTTTCATATTTGCATCATGATGTTGCATGCAAGTACATAAGAGGCAGAGTTTGTACTGAGATGGCATGATAAGCTTTTTATCACTTCATCCCCTACCCACCCCCATGGGCACCTACAATCACACAGTGACTTGCCTGCCTAGTACAAAGTTGGCAGATTTCATACATTGCTTAAATAAACAGCTCAACAGTGCTAGAGACAATGATCTCCTTTGACACCAGTGACATTGGAAAATACAATTGGCCAGCCCTGGAAATCAAATTTAGGCTGCTAGGTAGCAGATTGAAGCCCAGGAATTAGAATGTTGATTACATTCATAGAATGCTACTTATTCCACTCATAGGAATAACTAAACAGGCAGAGCTCAAGGATCTCACTGTGTTGATAAAATAGTGGTATCCAGTGGAGGGATTCACATTTGACAGGTCTTGGGGGACATTTCTGGACAAACAAAATTGGAGAGATGGACTCCACTTGAACCGAAGTGGAATCAAACTGCTGACACTTAACATCAACACAGTGCCAAAGCAGCTTTGAAGTAATCCACTGGGGAAAAGCTGACAGGTGCTAAGCAGCATCCTGTTTGGAAGGGTGAGATGTTTCAAAAAATAATATAAGGCATATGACCAATTTGGAACTGGATTAGTGGATAGACATGAGAGTCTGGAAAAAAAAGGCCATGAAAATCTCACACCCACATTTCAATAATAACAACTACAGCAACAACAATAATATCCAGTCTAAATATCTGGCTGACTGTGCAACCAACAATATAAATACTAATACTAATAAAAAATAGCAACATCTGCCTATCTCAGATCCTTGGGAAGGACTTGATAGGTGAATAAAAATGCCAAATTTGGCCTAAACATCTGGCTGACTATGTGACCAGCAATCAATATGGTATGTAGGTATTTCTGTGTCAGTGCTAGAAGTCTTCAAGCTAGGATGGGGATGTTAGAGTACTTACTTGTGAATGAGAAGATAGATATAATGGTTAGTGGAAACCTGGTGTAACAGTGAAAATCACTGGGATGCAATCATTCCTGAAAATATACTTCATAGAAAGAACAGAAAAGGACATACTGGTGGAGATATAACTTTTTATCTGAGTAAGGTTATAAAAGCTAGTCTATCATGAAGATTGGTCCCCTCATAAGATTTTTTCTACAAAATCTCCAGCCAGAAATATAAATTAGATATAGAGATATGCTATCAAACACTAGATCAAAATGCTCAGGGAGGCATGCAAGAAACTGGGTATATTCATGTTCATAGCATGATTAAGAAACCAAATATCTTGGTACTGTAAAATGATTGTGCCTTAGGATACTTGGTCTTGGAACCAACCAGAGTAGCCACCCAAGACCTAATCCTGAGTAGTAACCATTAGCTGGTATGAGGTGTAACTCTTGTGGAAATGATAATAAAAAGTGGCCATGATCTTATTACATTTAGCACATGCGCCAATAGGAAATTGCCTAGCAAGGTCAGTCACACTGGACTACAAAAGAAAAATGTCCCAAAATGAGGGGACTGATGAAAAAGTAACTGAAAATAAAAAGTAAACAAAGCCAGTTCCTTGATAGTGTCTGGAAGTTATTTAAAACCACAGTAATTGAGGCTCAGCAAGAAAAATACCATGTTGTAAGAAAGGATCAGCAAAATCCAGGAAGATACCAGCATGGATTTATTGTAGAGTCCAAGAAACTCTAAAAATTAGGAAGGCTTCCTTCAGGAAATGGAAAATGTGTTTTAACTATGAGAAATATAAGACAGACAAGCTGTCAGAAAAAGTATACTGTAAAATAATAATTGTTAAAAATGCACTGAGGGAAATATGAACTTCTTTCAATGTATTGAAGTAGAAAATCAGCTAGGAAACCAAAGGAGATCCGGGAAATTTTAGACTAGCCAGTTTAATGCTCTTTCTGGGTGAACTGGTGGAAATGGTAATTGTACAAAAAATAATTAAGTATATAGAGGGATATGTCTTGCTGAAGGAAAATCAGTATGGATTCTGCAAAAGTAAATCCTGCTCCACCAACCTTCTAGAGCCTTTTGAGAGAATCAACAGGCTCATGGATGGAGGTAAAACCCGAAACCTACTGTGAAGAGATCCAAAAATATATCTTTAAATTGGGTGACCGGTGAACCAAAAGATCCAGCAGGGCCACTCTAATGCTGTAGTCTCATTATAACTTATCTCAAAACTAATTCCTTAGAAGATGTATTATTTAAAAAGGGCTACAAATCAGTTAATTAATTCAAAGTTAACCAGTTTTCATTTCTACTTTCCTCTATCTTTCTATTTTGCATTCAGGGCAGTCCATAAACAAGCTCACCACTGATCCACTGAGAATTCTACATGGCGCTGTGGAAGACAGCACCAATTCCATTTATGGCTTTCTTTCTTTGCTGTCAGACCTCATATTTGAAGATGAAGATGAGAATGGAAAAGGTATGTTTAAATTAGGCTGACTTCAGGAAGTTGATTGGACTTACCTTGCTGCACCACTAAAATAAAGCCAAAATGAGTATGAAATGTCACTCCTGAAGCACTGAAGTTCATCAAATGGCCAATATAATTCCTTTTTCTTCATTTGGTAAAATAAGCTTTCATATTGTATTTCATGTACTATTAGGGGAAGAATGCCAGAATTAAAATGCTAGCAATATTTTCAGCCTTATTCTAAAGTATACAAAAATGGTAGAACGACAGGACAAACATGCTGCCAAGGAATTAGCTTCAGCGGTACTATTCATAAGTCTTTCATTTTCATTTTGTGTAAGAAAGGAATATTTGAGCAATAGCAATTCTAAAGGGACTTGGATGTTTTCAGATCTAAGGGCTTTCACTTGCCCCACCTTACCTTTTGTACTAATCAGTAGGTGTCAGAGCTGTTGGCATCAACAATAGCATTTCAGTCCAACTGAAAGGAAGTCTGAATGTTAATGTGCTTACCTGTGGTCTTGTCAAAATATATATCGGCAGTAATTTGGGGAAACTGCATAACTAACTCCACAAGCTCAAAGAGGCTTTTGATTGTTTTGTCTAAACAACAGTCCATGTTACGTGCTTGGGGAGCATGGGATGTGATGGGGCTTTTTTTCTTTTTAAAGTAATTTAAAAAACTGGTTATGTGCCAGTCCTTGTGAACTTCTAATGAAACTCCCAAATAATTGGCTTAACAGCACAGGATTAGCTTCTCTTTTCTTTTTAAATCAATTCACCGTGTCAGAAAATTCTTCCATGCAGATAGTAGATTATTGTTTAGATAAAATAATAAACGAGTATACATTGGAGGCTCATGTTTCTGTACTTTCAGATTTCTAGGCAAAATGCATCATTTAACAACAGTTAGCTATGACAGTGAGAGATCCGTAGTGGGTGGGTAGGTACTTGAGTGCCAATGGAAATGGGTGTATGGGTGTGTGTGTGTGTGTGTGTGTGTGTATACATGTATATGTCGCATATCTGGAATAAAGTAAGCAATGATATCATGACTGGATGTGGCTTTATAGCTCCAGATCACATGTCTTTTTAACCAATATAATTAAAACTCAGCTGGAACAAAAACATTGCTCCCGACAAGGACATTTGACAGTTTGAAGTAGCACCTAATTTCAACCACTGTGGGGATCTTCGATTAGTACCGCCTGCAAATACTAACCATTATGTTGTTATACCACTGGGTCCCATTTCTTGATAGAGTGTAAGATCATTTACTCCTGTTACTGAACCAGAAATGCAGTTCTCTAATCTAGTTCTTTCTAAACCAGAATTGTAACATAAGATTTTTCAGTTGTGACAATAAAAGTGCAAAACTATAATCACAAAACATATTGTCAGTTACTGAAATAATTTCAGTTTCCAATTACATCCTATAGTTTATTTGAAGAAGAATTAAACAAATGGCAGTCTTTCTCAAAAAACTAACATTAAATATGGTCCAGCAATACTTTCAAAGGTTCTAAGGTAGATAATTTCAAATTAAAAATGTGTACATTATAGAAATAATGTTAATAAGAGCTCAAAACTAAGGCAGATTAGAATTCTAACCTTTGAAGATGCTTTATCTTTTTGGAAACCCTATACTGCATATCCTTATTAGAAGCCTCAGTAGAGAGAGGACACAGAAGTCTCTCTTTACTTTTAAGGCCTGATTGAAAAATATTTTTCCTTTAAACTATAAGAACTGTCACAGTTATTCTTAGGGATAGTCAATGCTTTGCATTCCAAAACATGAGAGAATACAGACACAGCACCTCTCTGAAATTCTTTAAAGCTGCTTCATCCTTTTCCAGGATCTCATGATAACTGTAGAGGACAGCTACATGATTCCAGGAAAAGAACTTTCTAAAATTTATTTATTTATTCAGTCAATATATATAGCTGCTCATCTTGCAATTGCAATGCTATTGCAGAGAGGTGCTATGTTAGTGTTCTCTTACATTCTGAAGTACCTTTTAGGAATTGAATCTGAAATGGCCCTGGTAATGATAGCAACCTTTAACAACCTGGAACACTCCAATTATATTAGGCTATAATTCATAGCCAGCTGGGAATTATGACAAATTTAATTCAGCTTATCTGGAAGATCAGAGGTCCCAGAAGGGAAGAGGCTGACAAATAATCATTTGTTCAAGTCATCTGTGGGTGTATGGTATATGTCAGAATCCCAAAGTGAAGAGATTTTTGGAGGCCTTTTATTTAATGAGAGCTTTTCACATGCCTAAACAATTTTAGGCCATACAAGGGCAACCCAAGAGCTAAATGGGACCATCCATAGCACAGGCTAGGGTCAGGGAAAAAGCCCCAACTTTCCCAAATAATAAAAAAGCCCCACATCATGGCATTGCCACCATATCATCTGATTCTCTCAGGATAAATAAAAATGATGATAAAAGCGGATATGCATTACTGGGTTTAGGGAGTCATATCAAACTGGCCGCAAAAGATGTGATTGGAATTGAGAATACTGAAACTGCAATATAAAAAAGAAGCTGGCTGTGTGCTTGGGCCACTTGAATGTAATGTATAAACTCGTATTCATCCATTCCTATCTCAGATCACAATCACTGCCATAAATCCTGGTCCACTCACAGAAAATAGCAGTACAAAAGTCTCAAAATAGAGCTTTTTTTCTTTTTTTTTCATTTCGCACTCATAATGCTTGAATGCATTTAAATGTGAAAATAATCTAGCATGGAAAAAGAATGCAAATGTGTTATTATTCTACTGTTCACTTGGTTATTATTTTCTCTCCTGGTTTAGGTGAAGGACAACCAACCCTGAAAGTAAAAGGTTTGCTGATTTTTATAAAGAATCACATGCTTTGTTTGATTAAGTGGGTATTAGGGCAGGAACAATGCAGCTTTGTACTGCCAGTGCTGTGGCTAATTATGCACCTTTCTGTTAATTGCACCTTCCTTCTCTGGATAAATATCATTTGAAAGGCATGCAAAATAATCAGCTCCTGAGCAGTACGTGGGGTAGCAAGTTGCATGGCTGAATTATTTTTGCATGCAAAAGACTTGAAGTTTGAAAGAATAACTAAAGGTGCTCTCCACTAAACCTAAAAGCGTGAGTAAGCTGCACTTCATTTTCAGAATATGTTATACAGTGTTAACAACACCTGACCTAGACTGCTTGTTTTATTTTTATTTTTTTGGCAGAGTTCCTGTGTGTTTAACAGCTGTGTGATATTTAAATATTCAACAGCTAGAATTTGGGAGGGGGGGGGAGGTTTTCCAAACACTACTTTCTTGTATTTGGAAAAAGCATCATTTTGCGCTCTGCTTGTCTCAAAGCTGTGAAAGGAACAAACCCTAGAAAAGAGTGGTGAATACCCCCTTAGTTCCATAGACAAAGATATTGGTTGAATTTTTAATTGGGGGAGTTTGGGAATTTTGTTGTTGTTGTTTTTCTTGCTTTGGCTTAACATGTTGCATGAACCCAGCAGTTAGTGTTCATAAAGTATGTCTTATGACTTAGCTGTTGTGTGAATTTATCCAATTATAATTTATTCACAATTAAACAAATCATGGCTTAGCACAGGATGTGAAGAAGTAATTGAATATGAATTCTTTAAGACAAAGAACAAAGGAGAATGGCTGATTGCTCTTATTTAAATAGCCAGGTATTCTTATATCAGAAGCTCTTTGATCTGAGAAAACTGACTTCTTAAAGATTCCTCTATGGGAAACACTAGTTGATCAGGTTGACTGTCCTCAAATGAGGAAGCCTTTCTCATCAGATTTGTCCTAACTCCTATAGGTACCCTGCAAATAACTGAATAGAGACGGTTTGAAATGGCATGGAGCTTAGCACAACATCTGCCTGCACTGGGCTGCCTTCGCAGCTAAGACCTGCTCTTCAAAGCATGTGCAGTTCTACCAGAGCTAACACACAAAATGGAAAGGAAGCAAATAAGGCTGCCACATTCAATGGAGGAAAGGCTGTATGTGCCTCTGAACTGTGCAGCAAATATATTGTCTTGACTGTAGTGAATGTCTACATTGTCTGAATGTAGTTCTTCTGTTTTAAACTCTATAGGCCACCTTGGGAACTTTTTTGATTGAAAGGCACCATAGAAATGAATGACATAACATTTTGTATGACAGATGCAGTTTCTCTCAGAGCTGTAATGATGGAAAAGTATTTATTACTTGAAAATATTCTTCCTTATTAACTGTGAAAGATCCACAGATACTTTGACCCCCACCTGGGAACAAGGCATTGTGACTAATGATAGTGGAAAGGCTTAAGAAAACTCATTCCCTTAGCAAAAGTCCCTGGCCCTGATGGCATCAACTGTCTCTGGAGGAGAAACCGGCAGCTTTCAGTCCATGTCTTCCAATGTGGAGGAAAGTGCTCTGGTAACAAATTCTTCTTGCCATATCCAGTGAAACAAAACAGCTGTTGTCCCAACAGGATGAACTGGATGAACAAGGGGGAACAATGGCTTCAGTAGTCCCATGTTTAACTATAAAGATGGATTACTGAAATTGTTCAAGCCACAGATGGTGAATTACCAGAACCCTGCATATGCCCTTGTCCTTAAACTTGTTTAAAGATCTTCTAGAGAATCAGCAGTCAGGGATAAAGAAGAAATAGACTTGGCTCCTTCCAAGCTCTTCCTATTCAAACAGAAGTAGGCCCCCTCCCTACTTTCAGCAGAATTTCTTTTTTACATTAATTGCTTAGGATTGCAGAAAATTAACAACTTTATGTTTTTTCTTTTCCCCCATGCAGAAGAAATCCAACCGCCAGTCAAAAAGAAAGGTGAGCAAATTTCAAAACAAATTAGGTTTCATCTTTCATCTTAACCTTGGATGGCTGCTTTCTGTTGATTTACTTTACTAGCATGGACCACAACTTACTGGAAGAATGGTGAAACTGATGAAAGTGGAAGACAAAAGAAATAACTGTCTTTGAGGAGTAGGTGAACTTTTGGAAGAAAGAGAGTTTTCAAAGTTCCCCACCCTGCTGATTCTTTACCCTGAGAATAAAAAATTACAAGAAGGCTGAACTTCCTTGCAAACTAATGTATTAGTGGAAATCTTAATAGGAACACAGATAAGGGTCCAGCTGCGTTAGGTCAAACATGTCCACAGCTCCCTAAACAGACCAATATCTTAACTTATGGAGGACAGAGAAAAAGAGCTTACCTGTCCATTCATATCCTGACTCCATCTGCTTCATTTCCACTGGTGAGCACCTGAACACTGTGCTGGTCTTCCTTCCGTGGTATTTTCAGCAATTGCTAAAATTGCCTATTCTACAAATTTCACAACTACAGTAATTTCTTTTCAGCTTGTCAGGCAGCTCAAAAAAGCTCAGGACATCTGCCAAAGAGAAGGAGGCAGGGGGAAGCTACAGGATGTAGAGGATTAGAAAAAGGAAGCAGAGACAAAGGGAACTTTGATGGAAATCACCCAGCTATGACCCAGATTTTATTACACATTTGAGACATATGGTGACTGGAAAGTCATGAAAAAAAATGGATGTGGACCAATAGAAGTGAAGTTGGGAAAAAGGCAAGACTCTGAAATATTATGCTAATATAAGAATCTGAAAAGAGAGCTAGAGAGAGCTGGAGAAAAAGGTTCTTTTTTTTTTTTTAAGGGAGTGCTGTGTTGGCACTCCCTTTAGGGCATCACCTGGAACACCTGAGGAGAGGTGGGATATAAATCTAAGAGTGAAATTCTGTCATTGTTAATCATGACCTCCTCTTACAATTTAAGTACTGCTTAAAAGCTTGTGACAATAAAATATTACAATGGAAAGTTTTTCATGCTATCTAATTAAGTTTAGTCTTACAATAAGGAGTGTGCCTCAATGAGATTAAAGAGAATTCATAGGTCTGTGCTGTAAATAAGGAACCTTCTTCTGTTTGTTCAGTATGAAGGTATTAACTCGGGACCTTTAAAATATAATGACTTACAGTTGCATGTATTGGACAACCACCAGAGCCATGAAATCATAGCTGGGGCAGAAAGTGGGTGCTCAGGTCCAGGGAGCTTTGCTGAGAGACCAGAACAGTTTTTTACTGTTTTCAATTTTAGTGGTGAGCCACCCAAAGTCACCCTCCGGGGAGATGGGCAGCATCTAAAATAAATAAAATAAAATAAAATTGATGGCAGCCATGGTGGGATGAATAAGAAGAATGAGAAAAAATTGGAGGAAAAGGAGAATATAGAAAGAATGTGGAAAAGGAATTAAAGGCAAATAATTGGACAATGGCAGTGATGCTGAGAGCTGGTGGAGAAGGAGAGGACTGAACAATATTGAGGAAGCTTGAAGAGAGAGTGCAAAGACGTAGAAAAAAGGAGACTAAAGGGGAGGTGAAGGCTGAGGTGTACTGCGATGAGGTACAAAAACATCTAGCCCAGAAACACTCTGAACAGGAATAGCAAAACAGCCCAAAATATCCACAAGTGGCTTCAAGCCAGATTAGATAGTGGGAAATTATAATATATCTTTTTAAAGGCCACCAAAAGTGTGAGGCCACTGATAGAGCCATGAAAGAGTGGATGGAGCTAGTGGCAGTGAAGACAGAATCGCAAGGCTGTAGTTGATGAGAGTGGAGGTAGGAGCTCAAGTGGGTCCCACCAAGGGCAATGCAGGGAAGCTCTGATCAGCCATGGATGAACCACCACTGACAAGAAGAACATTAGACTGCACAGGAGTGGATTTGTTAAAGGTAATAGGAACAGCATAGATAGCCCATAGTGGATCTTCCCAGGTGAGAGATAGGTAGTGTTGGTGGATGGGCACCTCTACAGCAAGAGAAAAGGACATTATTTCCGATCTGGGAAGCCCAAGTGAGAGTGGGTCTGAAGGGGGAAGAATGGTAGATGAATCAATTGTGTGATTTGTCAGGAGGAACAGGAGAAGATTGTTGGAGGCTGGTCAGAGTGGCATTGGCAGTTACTATCCTCCTGTGTAGAAGGATAGGGTTTGTTCAGTTTTTTTTAGGGCTTCCTAAGATAAGAGTTAGGTAACTCTAATTTTTTGAAGGTTGCTGACAGGCACATGTGGTCTTATCTGTATTAGATACTGTTTATTTGGTTTGCATTTTAATTGAAACTAATGTGATTTACACTTCCTAAATGTGTAGGCAAATGGAATTACATCATCTTTGGATACTTCTAAATGTTGCAATTTACAATTAAAGATTTGTGGGATATTGTCATTGACAATCAAAATAGCAAAATAGAAGAGGATACTTCAATACAGGATAGTCTGTTTACTATATCTGTGTAGAGTAAAGTAAACTGATAATACACATCATTCTGTTCAGGAAATTTCTGAGAAGCTCTGGGGGGATCAAATGAGGGGTGAGGGAAGGTTCTGTTCCCAGCATCTGCTGCCTTTAAGGTGGTTGACATAGTGTGTCCAATGATACAGCCTAATTTGTTTTTGCCAAAACGATTAACCACTTGAGAAATTATATTGGCTTCAGATGTTCTGTGCTGTTTCTATCAGAACTTGAACACCTAGATCAGTGACAACGGGCCAAGGATATGTGCATTGTGAATATGTGTATTTGTGCAAAGCAGAAGGTATTTGAAGAAAATGGCCATCTCATTAAGATGACTCTATCATAACATCTAATAATGCATAATCTCTTCCAGCACATTTCCCTAAACTTTTTGCATGCCTATAAATGTCAAGATATTGTGTTGTAAGAACTGAGTTATTATGGCTTGAAAATCACGATTTATGACTTCATATTATGGGTAAATCCATCCAGGTGTGGTTTATTTACAAACTATGACTTAGTATCCTATGTGAACCCCAAAATTGCCGTGCCCTTTCCCTTCCTTTCTACCATAGTGATTTTAAACAATGTTGAGATTTCCTTTTTTTCTGAAATGGTTAAATCAAGCAATGAAAAATAAAAAGAAAACAAGAAACGTTTTAAGCTGCAAAACAATTTAAAATACAAGCCATAGAACAGCTCGACTCTCTCCTGAAAACCTGTGGGCTTGATAGAGTTTGCCAGTATGGCAGATATTGGCACCAGTTGGGTAATTAGTTATTCTATTCACTCCTCTCTAAAGAATATCTCTATTTGCATATTTAGTGCTTTCAGAGTTTAGCTGATTTTCTCTTTATATCTCCATATGGCAATGTGCTTTCTTTGTATCTGAATTGCTTTTGCCATGGTTTGGAATGGGGCTTCCTGTCTCTTAACTACTCCTCACTGGCTGGCATTTTCAGAATCTTTGTTCATAGTACTTTCTGTTGAAAAATGCAGAGTTTTATTTTCAAAGGTGCCTGAATTACATAACTATTCTTTTGATGTGCTTGGAACACTTATTTTAAATATTGTTCTTGATGACTTGCATCACCCATGATTAGTACAGGGTTTGGATCAGGGCTCTTCATTCTGTGACCAAACTATTAAAAAACAGTAGGTGATAGCTAGTGGCAGTATAGAAAACACTACTCTTTACATATGTCAGGGCATTTGTAAATACCACTGATTGATTGGTTATGTGCTATCAAATTGCTGTCAACTCTTAGGAACCACATAGATTTTCTCCATGATGATCTGTCCCTAGCCTGGTTCCTCAGGTCTTCCAATAGTGCACTCATGGCCACTTACCTGAGTCCATCCACCTTGCTACTGGTCATCCTCTTCTCTTTCCTTCCACCTTTCCCAGCATCAGAGCCTTTTCCAGAGAGCTGGGTCTTTGCATCATGTGTCCAAAGGAGGATAATTTGAGCCTGGTCACTTCTAGGTTCATTTGTTTGATGATCCATTGGTTTGTTTTCTTGGCTGTCCATGGTGTTCTCAGGAGTCTTGTCCAACAAGAATTTCAAAATCATCAATACTCTTCTGATCGTGCTTCTTCAAAGTCCAGTAGTCATCATAGCCCATTCTCTTTCAGATAATCCAATGATCCTTTGATGAAAAAAAGAGATTGGTGTTTCCACTAAAACAAAGCCACCACTCCATATAAGCCTGTTCTTTATTTAAGACAATACATTCTATATCTACCCCACTTTAATGAATAATAAAGCTTTGGACCAAACAAAAGGGGCATTCACCCATCTCATATCATTGATCTGCACAAACTGATCCTATATGACAGGGGAAAATGCCTTTTCTGTGTGGAGCCATAATGAAAGCCCACAAATCAAGGAAAGACAATTTTTGGGGGCTGGGGGCACACACAGAATTTTGGGAGCATGTGGTAAACAAGGGAGACTTGTCAGTTGATGAAATGGCTGCCATGGCAGGCATGGCCTGTCACAGATCACCTGCATACCAGAAACGAAACCATTACCAGGATATGGCAAACCAGCCTAGTGCAAATGTTTAGAGGCCCAAAGGCATTGCAAATAAATAATTTTAATTTGTGATTAAAAGAATAATATTTTTCATACAACGTAGGTGGAGTAGGAAGCCTTGCAGGCACTAAGAGAGGCACCTACAGGCACTTTGGTTCCCCCAAGCACCACAATGCCTACCCCTGCCTCAATTTTAACAATTTTTATTTATTTGAATTGTATCTAACTTTATCTCCTGATAAAAATGATTAAATTAAAAATGATTAATTAAATCTGAAAAGGCCTATTTAAAAAGAAAAGACTAAAAGCAGAAACAGAGAGGGTTGTGAGCAACTCCTGAGTATGTTTATAATGCAAAATTCCTCTTCTCTTTCTATATTTTATAAAACATTGCTGCTTACTGATGGAAGTACTTGCTGGTAAAGCTGGGTCTGGCCCCTCCTCATTATAGCTGAAACATGTATTTAGGATTTTTAAAA